CCTTAATTCATGATATGCTAATTCCTAATCTATTTTCCCTGAAGGCCATGAACTTCAACTCGCCGCCGCCATCTGGGTTGTACGACATCTTTAACTTTTTCTTTTGTCACTTCACTGATTACGACAAGCAGGTACTCGCCACTATCAAATCATTTGAGGATTATTGCTTATTTGATGATGGTTATATAGTATCTTTACCCACTGCTTAGTTAAATAAACAAGGTGTTCCTGTATATGTCGCCAAAGTGGACAGATGGTCAAGATGGCAGATGCAAGCACCAAGGCTGCCATGTATGCCCTGAAATATTTCTTTAACACTCCTGGTAAAGGCAGTGTAACCAATGCCCCATGCATCTGGGTTAAAAGAACAAGAGCTAATACTAGAGTATGCAAAGTAAAGGATTTGGTGATCAAAAAAGATAAAAACCCTCCTACTAAAAATGAAAACATAAACACACGTTCTCCCAAAATAGTGACAGAGATGTCTGTGCTCCTGAGGACACTTATCCACCAGATGAAAAGTATCTTAGATGATTAATCCAAAAGCCTGTTATCTTGCCCTTATTCAAAAAACTTTGTTGCATTCCAGAAGCAGACAAAGATCTCAACGATCAACCTCCTAAAACAAATGATACCAAGGCTGAGACTGGTATTATGAATACTAAATTACAAGAGGTCATGAGAATTCACCCAACATTTCAACGGAAAAAGTTGTGAGGTTGCTGTCTTTCAGAGATACAGAAAGGAAGCATTTTGAGAGCTCCACCTCAAAGCAATGGCAATGCAAGGAATGGTATCTAAACAAGATGGCCTTCATAACAGCTTCAAAGTTCAAGAGTCTTCACCAGGCAGGAGGCACTTGAGAAAAATAGCTGAAAATGTCACAAAGATAAAAGAAGATATTGCATTGGCGAAGACACCTCAAATTCATTCTCAGCAACAGGAAATGAAACCACAAATGCCAGGGACTGGGGGTTATTTCATGAGGAGAGTGCTTGCAGGGTACATCAGCATGTTTCTAACCATACCCACCACAAACTGGAACTGGTCTCAAAAGGCTTTCTTATTTCAAAGTCAGTCTTTCTTTGGTACTAGTCCGGATAATATTCAGCAATGTCAGTATTCTGACAGTTGTCGAAACAAAGTTGTAGAATATAAATGCCCCTAGACACGCAGAGATCTGCAGCCAAAAGAAGCTTTCCTAACCTCAGAATTTGGTGGCATTAAAAATGCAAATGATCTTACTTTGAAGCCTACGGTACTAATTCCAACTTTAGCTTCAAATATTTCTTATATAGCTTTTTATATTTTTCCATATTTAATATTTAATTTTATTAATTATTTATTTATTTATTTTATGCAGGACCCATGTTGATAGCAATTTTTTAACTGAAATGGTCAGCCTCCATAAATATGTTTGTTTGTTTGTTTGTTTATTTATTCATTTATTTATTTATTTAAATGTTTGTAAGTGAGCTGACCTTAACTATCTTTGGTGTGTGGACCAAAAAAGGATTTGACACAGAAACAGAAGATATCCTTACATCATATGTGTTGTATTTATTTTCATATTTTGGTATGATGAGAAATACTTGACTATGCATGTATCTAAATTCCTAATACAAGGCTAAGGATTAGTGGAATGATTCTTGCATCAGTGTATACATAGACGAAGAAAAAGCCAAGGACAGAAATATCTCCAGCAAGGAGAGTAAAAGGCAAAAACAAAAAAAGGGAATGAACTAAAGATGTTGGAATCTGGCTTTGTAAGTGTATTCTCCTGCTGCAGCTTTTGGATCTCAAGCAGCAGAAGACAACTTCAGATAAAGCTTGCCACCTGTGGTCATTTGAATTACCTTTTTTAAGAGAATCATCATTGAAATTATGAGGCTTAGAAAGCTTAAGAGACCTTTGAGAAGAGAACTCCATCCTCTTAACCTAGATACAGAAATGCAAAGAGACCTTTTTGCGATAAAAATCTGCCATTTTCAAAATCATGCAATGAAGAATTTTAGGGATTTTGATGTGACATAACTTTCAAAAAAATTGAGTTGTACCCAAAACCTTAAGCTGCTGGAGGAAAATTCCAACTTTACAAGAGGTTGGGTGGGTGAAGTGGAAGGTGAATATAAGATCCCAATGGGCACAGCACAATATCCAATGAAGTGGCTCCCTGAAAAATGTTGTCATGGCAGTGCTGGCATTTAAGTTACACTTTTGCTGACACTACCTGATGATAAGGAACCACAACAAGATGATGTACATCTGGCACATGTAAGTTTATGTTTGAACTCTAGTGTTTCTATACACAAAACTAAGCACTTGATGGAGCAGGCAATTTTTGCATTACTCAGAGTAAAATGTAGCAGGAGTTGTGGTGAGAACTAGCCACTCAGGGTATCATGAAATTTTGTATGAACAATGGTTTTATTATCAAATTCTCCCTTAGGTGTACTGCTGCTAACAAGAACAATGACTGAAAGTTCTGGTAAAGAATAAATCAACAGACATTAGGCAAATAGATAGTCAAACCGTAAGTGTTCCATAGATGGAGAGCACAGCACAATAATTACAAAGCCCATTACAAGAGGTCTGCCTCAGCCACATGCAGAGGGTGCAGCTTTTGTTTTCAGACGTCCTGTTGCCACTCATAAAATTTGATATACCGACTTCCATTTAAACGGTCACATCTAGACAACCAGGTCGAGGACATTTATGCTGCTAATGGAATTCTGTTTCATTCATTCTGTTTTTGTTTATTTGCCTTTTTACTTAATATACAGTATTTATAAATGTTTTAATGTGAGGCGAGGTGACCTCTAGAAACCATCTGGCTTTTAGTTGAGGCCACCTTGTATGTAACAATACGGTTACATAAATAGTGCAACAGTGTGTGGCTTTGTCAGTTCAGTAATTATTTTATTAAAAACTCTAGCAGTTTTTTCTTAAACTTGGGAAAACTTGACAATGAAGTGATTGTAACAGGAAGGGAATTCCAGATCTTTGGACCTTGGTAAAGAATTGTGAATTTTTTTAGATTAGTCTGGCAA